AGGAAAAAAACTCATGCAAAATTTGTGAAAAATTAAATAAAGGAATTCGCTACCATCCCGAGTCCGCTTGTTGGTATAGAACAAAAGAAGAAGAGAAACCAAAAGTAAAAAACATTAGACATGTAAACAATTCTGTTATAGAAGCCCAATTAAATGAAGCCGAACAAAAAAACTAATAGTGACACCATTAATAAACGTTAAACTACTCATAAATGATACTTTGGAAATTTATGGAGTTTATGATTCCGGATCAAATGTTTCGTTAATAAATTCGAAGCTGTTAAAACTAAACGGAAAAAGAAACAGTTTGAATGAAGCAAGCTTAATGACTATTAATGGTGTTAAAAAGGCGAGTGGTTTGACAAACTTGAAAATTAAAATATTTGAAATAGAAAATAATGTTGAAGTGTACATTATAGATGAACAAAATTTCAAATATGATTTCTTAATTGGATTAGACATGATAAAAAAGTTCAAGTTAATTCAAAATGAAAATTTAGAAATCACACAGAAGTATAATTTAGAAACAGAAACAGTAAAAGAAATTGTTACAAATATAAAACCAAGTACAATTGGTACAACAGGAAAAAGAAATAAAGAATTGGAAGAAATTTCTATGGATATAATAACTCCTAATGCTAAGGAGAAAAAAAGAGAAAATATAAAAGAGATAAAGATTAATTTTAATGAACATGTACAAGATGAGCAATTCAAAATTGAAACTAATCATCTAAATAGTTATCAAAAAATAGAAATAGATAAACTTATTAATAAATATAGTTCAATTTTCGCAAAACATAAATACGATGTGGGAACCGTCAAAGGATATGAAGCTAGAATAGATTTATTACTGGACAAATATTGCAGTAAACGACCTTATAAATGTTCAATAGATGATAAAAAAGAAATAGAAGAACAAGTAGGAAAACTTTTAGATAATAAATTAATAGAAGAATCATACAGTCCGTTTGCTGCGCCGGTGACACTAGCATTTAAAAAAGAAGAAAATAAAAAATCCAGATTATGCATTGATTTCAGAGATTTGAATAAAATAATAGTACCAGAAGCTCAACCATTTCCTTTAATAGAAGACTTAGTGACTAAAACAAGGAATTGCAATTTTTATTCAACTCTGGATATAAATTCTGCATTCTGGTCTATTCCCCTGCGAATAGAAGACAGAAATAAAACAGGATTTGTCACTCAAGATGGTCATTTTCAATGGACTTGTTTGCCATTTGGACTGAAAACTGCACCAGCTATTTTCCAACGGATATTAAGTAATGTGCTAAGAAAGAACAAACTTACAGATTTCGCTGTGAATTTCATTGACGATATTTTAATATTCAGTCAGTCCTTCGATCAACATATTATTCACCTAACACAGCTTTTAGAAGCAATCAAACGTGAAGGTTTCAGGTTAAAATTTAAAAAGTGCACGTTTGCATCAAACTCTGTAAAATACCTCGGTCATATAATTGGGAATAATTCTATTAAACCAATTAAAGATAATCTCATTTCCATAAGAAATTTTCCTACCCCGAAGACGCAGAAAAATATAAGACAATTTCTAGGAAAAATAAATTTTTATAATGAATACATACCAAGGAGTGCAATAATATTAGATCCATTGCATAAGTTATTAAGAAAAAATCAACCATTTATTTGGTCTGAAGAATGCCAAAATGCGTTTGAGAAAATAAAAGCTCTCTTATGCTCGCAACCAGTGCTTGCTATTTTTGATAAAGATTTACCTATCAAAATATACACCGATGCATCTATAGAAGGTGTTGGCGCAATTTTAAAACAAATTCAACCTGATGGAAAAGAAAAACCTGTGGCTTACTTTTCTAAAAAACTCAATGAGTCTCAAAAGAAGAAAAAAGCAATATACTTGGAATGCCTAGCTATAAAAGAAGCTATACAGTATTGGCAGTATTGGTTGATAGGCAGATCATTTACAGTTTATTCGGACCATAAACCGTTAGAAAACTTGAATTTGAAATCAAGACCCGATGAAGAATTAGGTGATTTAACTTATTATTTGTCCCAATATAACTTTGTTATTAGATATACTCCAGGAAAGGAAAATTTGGAATCGGATTGCCTGAGTAGAAACCCTGTGTTGGAATCCAATGAAAATACAAATGAACAATTAAAGATTGTAAACTTAGTAAATCTCGAAGAAATTTTAAGAGATCAGAATAAAAATGAAGAAATACAAAATAATAAAGAAAGAATGATAAATAAACAGGATATATATTATAAAAAAGTTAGAAACAGAGAAAAAATAATTTTGTCAGAAGAATTCAGTATCAAATTTTTAAAAATGGTTCATGAAAACCTTTGTCATATTGGAATAAAACAATTGCAAAAGACAATAAGTCCTCTATACACAGCAAGGAATTTAACAAAAAATATTAAAAAAATATGTATTGAGTGTGATATTTGTATCAAGAATAAATCAAGGGGGAAACACAAATTTGGACTTATGTCTCATCTGGGGCCAGCCACAAAACCATTTGAAATAGTATCCATAGACACAGTTGGGGGTTTTGGAGGTTCAAGATCTACAAAAAAATACTTGCACTTGTTGGTAGATCATTTCACTAGATACGCATTTATATCAACGTCAAAAACTCAGAATGCAAATGATTTTATTAAACTAGTCAACAATGTATCAGAATCTGACGAAATAGATATACTACTCACAGATCAATATCCAGGTATTAATGCGAAAGAATTCAAGAAATTTCTAAAAGACAAACAAATTACTGTAGTATTTACTGCAGTGAACTCACCTTTCTCTAATGGTTTGAATGAAAGGCTAAACCAGACATTAGTCAATAAAATCAGATGCAAAGTTAATGAAGATGGAAATAAGAAAGCCTGGACAACAATAGCGCATGAATGTGTAAAAAAATACAATCAAACTATTCACTCAGTTACTGGTTTTTCACCAAGTTATCTTTTATATGGTATAGATGTTACAGTTTTGCCAGAAGAATTGAAGAAAGATAATACACATATTAACTGGATCAGGGATAGGACAATAGCACTTGAGAATACAATAAAATCACATAACTATAACAAAACAATATTTGATAAAAATAGGAGATGCCATGAATTCAACGTTGGAGATATGGTGTATGTGGAAAATGGTAATAAGCTAAATAGGAAAAAATTAGAAGAGCTGAAAATTGGACCCTTTCGAATCATTGAACAGGTTTCAAAATCAATTTATAGGATTGACACAGGACACAAGAAAACAGAATCAAACTTTTTTCATGTCACAAAACTTATCCCTATACCAATAAAACAAGGATAAGTAAGAAGTGAAGGAGCCTTTAAAGAAAATTTATCTCTGAAAATTTTCTTACTCGAAGGGGGGGAGATGTAAAGAAAAATATATATCACTTTTTCTTTAGGATTTAATTATTATTTTAATGTTGTTATTATTTTCTTTTTTATGTCTATAGAGTTTTTATGTTAATGTGATGATAATAAACCTCCGTGGTTTAGTTCATGTTAAAAAGAAGAAATATTTTGACAAGTCATTTATGTAATTGTTTTCTGTTAAAAAATTATAAAAAATAAATATATGTTAAAATAGAATAATTAATATTGTGAAGAAATAAACTTTTAAAGTCGTTTCTTTGGTAACAAAGCAACACAAGTTTATTTTATTTATTCCTATTAAAGAAAAAGTTTCCGTATTATATATCGTTGATCATTTCAAAATTATTTGTCTTCTTCTTTTTGCTAAAATATTTGAAACAATGAAACAATGAATTTATTTTTGCATACAGACCATAAAACGGCACTTTTACACGTTAAATTATATGTGAAAAACTAGATGAAAATCTAGATACACGTGATACGTATTTTTCTTAGCGAAGGCCCTTTATATTTACAGGGCCTATGTAAGCACCCTAAAACGGTGAAGTTCATCCGCCCCTGGTTGCACGTATGTACAAAGAAAGAGAATAAGTCCCCATCCCATCGTTATATATAACTATTGGCCCCATATATTATTTGAAGCGTGTCTCCAATCGCTTACACAATGGTAGCGTGTCAATATATAACAGATCAAAACAATTTTTCTTTAAACTATTAATCTAGAAACTTATTAGTAACTCTTACTTTTATATACTCCATCATTTATGTATAAATATTGATCATATCAAGTTTTAATTAACACTTTCGCGAAGCATTCTTCTGGCACTATAACATTGGGTCGAGTTTGTTCGCCACTTCTTCTTGAGGTAGTTAGATAAGAAATGCCAGTTACACCCGGGTGTATTTAAGTTCACGTTACCAATTCGTCTTTTCATTCAAGTTCTAGTTAACCAAAGGTAAACAATGTTGGCATGTCTTTAAAGAGGGTGTATAAAATTCACACAAAGATTACTTGTGTAACTAACATCGATATAGGTAAATTGTAAACATTTTTACATACATTACTTGAAACTATAAAATTTGTAAGTTTGTATGTAGGGGGTAATCTTTGGAACTGCTCTGGTCGGATTGCCAAAATTCTTTCGCTGATAGATAGCTACAATGTTCCCGAGTGCTATAGGCTATAAAACATCACGCTACGATTAAATGGAGCCGAGCAGCGGGTGAAACCGCGCGAGAGTAGCGAGTTTTTTAGATAAAAACACATGCCAAGATTGTTTGCCTACTTCTACCTAGTTAACCGATAGAACACAGCATGTTTACAAAAAAAAAAAAATAGATTTAATTTAATTTCAATACTAATTCTGGTATAACCATCCTTTTATGACCAGAGAAAATCGTCACTGACTTCTCCCGCCTGGGGTGGCGAGAGAGAGTGTTATTCTCTTACAGACTAACTACCACCCTGTTCCTTCTTTTGTTCGACAAGATGTCGGCCATACACAACCTTTAAAGAATCCTTGAAGACCTCTTCCAGCTGTATATTGATAAATTCAGCCAATTAAATTGAGCAAATTAACTAAAAATCGCGGGTTACTCACGTGTAAATATTGAGAAAAGCTCTACTAGTTTCGAACCACAGCGGGGTTCTTCCTCATGAGCAGCGTGCGCGGACGCGGCGACATCGCGCAGCCTACACTTAAATTGAGCAAATCTATGAATTAATATCCTATTCTACAGAAGATTTAGACAAAACATTTCAGTACAAGCACACGATATACTAAATTATTCAACAAACTATAATCTTAATTGTATCACAATTAAGTTCAGAATTAAGCAATTTTATGTAGCTTGGTATCTGTGTTCCCACACTCTCATCTTGATTACATTCCGAAATGTATACGTTTTAAGTTAGGCATTTCCTAAGCAATAAATCCTCTTTGCCAAGAAATTGAGGCGGAACTTATTTCTTAGTTACTTTCGCCAAATGATTCACACTAATGTTGAAAACGAAAAAATGTCTCACAACATTTCATTCATGAATCACTTGATTCGTCTTTTTATTCATTCATAATGAACAAAACATTTATGTATTTATTATACCCCAAAGACGGTACAATGGCACACATAATTACTTTACAACTGTTTTTTTTTTATTGAAATTAATTGTTACAATACAACTTATGTTGCTCATATTGTCATACTTTACGAGTAAAAGTGTATACAGAAGAAAATGTAAATATAATAAATTAATACGAATGGAAACAAATAACTAAGTATGGTTTCAAATTGACGGAGTTTAGTACCTTAATAAATTTATTATAATGCAAAGGTAGAAAATTGCAATACCACTCAACACTTGAAACTCATTTAGAGGCAAACAATCAACCCTATCTCAGTAAAATCGGCTAAACCCGGCCGATTCGACCCGAATGACTTCATTGGGAAAATCTAAAGTTTCTCATAACACCGCGTAACATTAAAAAATATGGAATTCCGACTCTAATTGCTGAGTCGTAAGGTTGTGAATGCTGTGTGAAACGCGAAGCTTTCACATTGCTGATGGGATTGCGTCAAGATTATCTTACTCATGCTATGAAAGTTTTCTCAGAAGGCGTACGGAAGCGTTCTTGTTGGTACTCGGTTTTCATGCTGCCCTGCTACACTGTGGTGTCATGGGCGAGTCATCAATATCACGATGACCACGTGTAAAAATCCTAAATAAATATTTTTATGGCAACACCATTTACTTATCGTATCTATTTAGATGTTTAAGATAATAGCATTCATCCAATCATCCATCCTGATTCTTGATTACCTTTTGTTCTGTATGCATACAGTTCGTCATATGGGCCTTAAAAACGCTCGATATGGTTCTAAATGTGAGCATTAAAGAAAAACTTATAATTTACAACGATATGGTTGGATATACATATAAATATAAAACGCACATTTGAATTCAACCTAAAAGCATATTAAAATTAACTGTGCATATAACCGGGTCATTGCGACCGGTCCGTGGTAGGGCAGGGTTAGGTCACGTGGTCGTAACCTGAGAGAAACCAAGTTGTTCTCAGGAGTGTAACCATTAGGTACTCTAAGTTTATACCTCGTAAAATATGCGTGCCTGGTCCGTCCGGGAGAAAACTAGAACTAATAATGAAGAAACATGAATGTTTAATACGTTTATGACTCGGCATCAATTTGTTGCTGTACGGAAAGGTTCATTTTAGTTCAGTGCTTTCATGTAGGTATATAATACAAAAACTTTTTTTGGATGCGCTATATCCGTGAATGTTGTCGATTTAATATTAGTATAGATTAACTAGCGGCCCGCCCCCGCTTCGCACGGGTCCAACTATCTCGCTTTTCACTTTTTCCTAAACTTCCCCCCTCTACTTATCTAATATTTTCTTTGATAAGAACCTGCTCATGACAATAACATAAACAACAAAAAAAGAATGAGCAAAATTGGTCCAGGCGTTATTGAGTTATGCGCTTACCAACACATTTTGCGATCCATTTTTATATATAAGATTAGATTTTTTCACACTAGAGTTTAGCCATATTTTTACCCTTGTTAAAAAAGAAAAAAAAACCTCAAAATGTTACCTTAAAATGTTAATTTCAAACAACATTGAGGTTTTAAGACCGTTACTATGTTGGTCTCTAACAGACTACAGCATCAGGGTGAACGACCGATAGTAAAAGAACCGCACACTTCCTTGTGATACGCAATTACATAATAAAAGATAAGAAAGATAAGCTTCAATATTCATACAATCTATCTTTGTTGAACAATTTCAAAAAACTTCTACAAGACTGTAAACAACTTAATTTTCGGCTTCAAAGGTAATGAAAGTTATTTGAGAAGAAAAAACTGCAAAACAATGTTATTTTATTATTTCAAGAGAAGTTATTTAAAAAGAAATATATTATTTTTGTTTCGAAGTAGAAAGTTTCAGAAGCCGGACCAGTCAAAGGAAAATTAATTTCAGTGTGCTTACTAAAAGATTTGTGTACCTACTTGTTGGTGAAAAGGCCTTAGAAAAATAACGATGTAAATTTGGCGAAATTGAAAAAAATTCGTTGCTATTATGTTCAATACTAGTTAGTTGCTAAAAATTTAAGTATATTGTGACTCAAATCGATCGCAATAACGCTTAATTTAAAGAATATATAGGTATAGCATTTCTTATAATAGTCTGATAGCGTGAAAATTACTGAATGTGGACTGATCGACCAAGCGAATAGGGCTGATTTTTTTACTAATTGTTTGCAGAAAGAAAAAAAGTTCATTGCCATTTTTTAGACCTGAAGTCGCTGCGAAGTGGCTGCGAGTTTGTCCTCGTAGACTAAATAAGTTATAAACGTCTGATGATGATGACAGAAAATTTATCAAGTAGGTATTTATTCTTTTTTAACGAGTGCTGCATTATGAGTTGCTCACCTGTCGTGGCGTTTAAATATATGTATTATGATCGTTTATATAGTCTAGGGCTGTTATGGACCCGCACGAAGTGATACCACGGCCTCACAGAATCGGCGTGAAACAAATGTTGCGTTGTATTTTGCTGTTTGAGTTAGCTAATTGCGTCGGCGGCTGGTAGCCCAATCGTTCCCCTCCCCCATTATGAATCTCCAAATCCCCTATCCTCATATCCCTAACAACTTACAACAGCCGGAACCGGTGCTGATTGCTTACTCAGGCAATGTATAGTATAATGTATTTAGTTGGCTTAAAAATTATAACTATGACAGGTTACCTTATTTAGGAATGTGACTGGTTGATTGATCGTTAGCGTATATTAGAATCTTATAGGCGATGATTAAGGTCGTGTGGTGCCGATTCCACTGTGAATCTCTTCAAAGACCAAAAGCTTGATCCATTTGCAAATTAAGGAAAGTGCAATGGTTTAAAATTAAATGCAAATAGTTGAAAATAGTCTTAGGTACACCTCCAAAAGGGCGAAGAAAATCATGACACGTTTAATTTTCCCATAATTTATTCACAAAATATTCTTGAAGTTTTTGCAGAAAATAATGTACAGGAAAAATTTGGAATTAAGAATATTCTAAGAATTTTTTTAGTGTGCTTATACAATTAGCGAGACGTCGTCTCTTATTAATGAAAGGGACATGGTACAGATAGCAGCTTGCATCCAAAATGTTTATTATAAGTAATATATTTTCCAAGAGCACTATCGCAAAATGTACAGAACACACGTCCGATCTCCTGTAGAGACGTAAATGATCTAATCTCGATGAGTCACGGTGTCGATGACCCCACCTGCGATGTGACCCACTGAGATTTTCGTTCAGCCGCGAGGTAGAAAGTTTTTGAGAAAGGCGCCGCGGTGACCTTGTCGCTAAGAATGCGCCTCGCGTTTATAATATACACATTTAAATATTTTATTTATTATATTTACTTATTGAGCAACATTCTTTCGCGTTTTTATTATTTTTTATTTTATTTATTTATTACATTTTTAGTATTTGCGTTTGGGCATCCTTATAATAATAATAATTAGATTTTTTAATTAGACTAATTTCTGTTGTAAATTATTTATAGTGTTTTTATTAGTAACGAGGTTACAGTCTCGCCTATCCTGCGTATGAGGGCGCAAATTCAAACCTGGCAAAAGCTGCGACTTTTCCAACTGAGTTTTCCGACTTTTCCGCGTTATATGTACACCCTCACATTATTGGAAATCGCCTTGAGGAAGCGTGTTTTTTATAGTGCTCATACCTTTATCGTGTGCGAAGAAGCATTTTCTGTTCTTCAGTGTTTCAGTGGCATACCTATATACGAGTATGTACAGGCTGATGATAATTATGATCTTGATAAAATAACTCACTGTTTCATTCATATAATATCGTGTCGTTGCGTTATGAATATATTACTCAAATAGGTTTAAATTCGAACATGGAATCTGACACTCTTTGCTTCCCAATAAGACCTAAAGTCGAAAATCTGCCGGAGCAAGCATGGCGTTTGCTCTTTCCTTTTCCGTTCAAACATGTGACCTTGGGCATTTGGGATATAAAATAATGGTGTAAATTTAAAATTTTGCAGATTCATGACAGAAACATTTAACCCTTCAGGGCCAGAAGCAACACAGAACTATGTTAACTAAGCAATGAAATGATGAAAAATCTATTTGTCAATTTTCTACTTTTTTTGTGAAATCAATTAAAGAACTAGTGTAATTTTCTTAATGCGAAGGACATGTAGGTTATCTTGAATCCGAGTGCCAATAATACTGCAGTGTGACACGCGTGGTCGTTGCTAAAGAAAGATCATTTTCCGTGGCAGCTAGCTCTCGGAGCATACCGGTAGGTCGCTCACGCTTTCTTAATCAAGCTAATAGTTTAGGAGACAACTGTTTCTTCATTATCATGATCTGCCGTTAATTTTACACTTCCTAACTTGCTGCCAACAAGTATTCGTGTCAAGCCACGGTAGACCGTATTATGTTGTTTTGTTACATCGCTTTTTAAATCTTTGTATCTCGATTGCAATTATGATGTTGACAAGGCTGTGTGGTAGTAAAAATGACGATTGTATTTCTTTAAATGGATATACTTTTTATACAAAGCAGTTAAATTGCACTGAAGCGGAATATACCAAAAAAATTACGAAACTGATTCTGATGTAAATTTGTTATTTAACAAATAAATAAGTAGTTATTAAATCTTCAAATGATATGCAGAATTAATCCAAACTATATAACATTATAAATGCGAAAGTAACTCTGTCTGTCTGTATTTTCTTCACGCCTAAACTACCGAACCGATTTCTGTGAAATTAGGTTGGAAAGAGCTTGGAACTCGAGAAAGGACATACTTTTTATACCAAAAATTTGCAGGAAGTGACTATTCCACGCGAACGAAGTCTTGGGCAAAAGCTACTATAAAATGCTTGAAATAATGCGAAAGATTCTGGAAGGAGGAGCTATATTCGTTGTACATTTTATCGGTATTCCAGTACGGAGATTCAAAAATTTTCCGGTTGGCAAACAGTAAAAGATTTACCATACCCCCATTTTTACATGGAACTAATAACCTAACTAATAAAAAGTTTGTCAATCTCAATGTTTATACATATGTCACATTAACTTATCTGTTCAGTGATTAATATACTATATAAACATGTAATATAAACAATTATTAAAAAATTGAAATCTGCAACAGTTGTAAAATAATATTATAAAAGAAAGTTGCAGTGGTGTCATAAAACCATCAATCTATGAACCGCACCCATAGTCGATAGCTACAACAACTCTATAGCCAATCACTATCGATTAGATCCACAAACGACACAGCATTTTCCTTAAAATATATAGAGGCTTAACTTGAAGTAAAATCAATATTTTGTAATTATCAGTCAATGAGATTTTAACAGTGAGATTATCACACATTTCTCTATGTAGATTAAGATGATGATGTATTACTGTATTATATCTGATTATATCTGATACCTTTTTCTGTTTCTACCTCCAAATAGACGTCGAAATTGTAACTACCTTACCATACCTTTCTCTACCATACCTTACCATACCTTAAATTACCCTAGGTACTGCTAGGTACCGTACCCTACCATACCCTACCACACCTTTCCATTCCCTTCCATTCCCTACCATACCCTATCATACCCTACCATACCCTACCTCACCCTACCTTAGCCTTTCGACACGTTCTTAGTACACCAAGCGCAACCCAATGGTGGAAAAACTAACAAAAATTTTCCCGATCTGGAACATTATTAAATTTGCTTATTTTCAGATAATGGACTTACTCCATTGAAATCTAAAACCTCAGATCAGAAACAGTTCCAGTGACTGCATCTTCAACAGTCGGCGATACGCCCACCAATAAAATTAGACAGTCAGACAGAAAATTACCTCAATAACATAAATATTAGAAAAAAGAAAGTTTGGAGGTGCCTTGTTAAGAATTCAATCGATAGACTGTTCATCGTTTGCGTTTATTTATAACCAACTATTATCGATTAGCTTTTTTTTCTTGAGTGGAGTAAATAATATCAAGCTTCTTTACTCATACTAAAAACTACCCCGTTCATTCTCCTCTTATATGCCGTAGCCGCGTTACAATGTGGCGCTTGCCCCGCAACCCCGTATCGACAAGATTGTATTTTGTCGATTGTGGTACGTATATGGCAGATACAAGTAGTAGCGTTCTCCGATCAAAATCATTCTAATGTAACTAACGAGGTACGCCTCGCTGTAACTGGAAAACGAGCAAAATAACAACCATTGATAATATAAGTTATAGGAACTCGACGTACTCTATTTTCTTAAAAATATGGCTCGTGATCGAATTAGTTCGCTTTCGCCAACTTAAGATCACTATTTGTAATGCTTCACGGACAAACACGACGATGTAATTCGTCACAATCTACTATGTCGAGCTTTCGAATCCACAACATAAACAAATGTTCTACCACGTTGAAGATATTGTGGCGAGGGGACTTAAAACGAACATGATTTGTCAATCAGTAAACGTTATATAAGATAGGATTAACGCAGGTATTATGTGTAGAGGTACTATACTTTAACATTATGTAGTAAAACTTTTATTTAATGCAGTACGAAACGCACGCATTACTTACATAACTCTGCGGGGGTCGTAATGAACTAACTTTATCTTTAGAAAACTAACACATGTGTGATGCCTAACCCAAAGCTAAGAAGAACTTAATCAGATAAAGGGTTTTTACTCTACAAAGCCTTAACTGGCTTCGACTGGGAAATTGGAAAGGGCAAACCAGAAAAACAACTAAGAACATATTTTTCGGATCCTTTGTTTATAAATGACATGATTGGGAGTAAAGCTAAGTCCAACATCAGACATATCGCGGCTGCTGCGCTCAAAAACACCTTAATCATGATGTGACGTCGAAGTGGCAGTCCAAGGGCAAGCAGGAGTTCAGCTACCGCGTGTGTTAGTTCGCCAGAGTGGCGCCAGCGATGCCAGATGGCGCTGGCGTTGACCAAAAGCAAAGCTGATCCAGTGCTGCATATGTACGCCTGCAAGGAGTTACGTCATTTATATATTTGATTGCGCTTTGAAAGGCTTTCTAGACACATTAATTTCGAATTTAAATGGTTTATAAATTCAAATTATTGCTCTTAAAATGTATTTATGTCATATTTTAAAATAACATGTAATTTACATTAAACAACCCCAACTGGTTGGTGTCTATTGTCTAATTTTTCTGTAAGCCAAGTCGCTTGAAATTGAAAAATACGAAAGAGTTATTTTCTGTACCTGCAATGCCTTGCCATCATAGATGTCTGCCCCTGCGCACATGGCCAAGCCGGTCATCGCCAGGCAGTATGTGACTAGCACTCCTCCTGTCACTGATTGCTCCCAGCGAAACACCCTCACGGATCGGACGTGCATCGTCAATACCGCTACCAGAAGAATGACGCTTACTAGCCTCAACGACAGGATGGGTATCCTCTCTTTGTTAGGCGTTCTTGACAATTCCTCGGGAGGTTCATCCATTTTGTATAAACTAAGCTGTTAAAAGAAACGGAACTCATAAAATATCATTCCAAAAAAGGGCTACTTCCTACCTCAAACAATATAGTCTAGAGATGAACATGAACAAGTCTTTGAGAAATTGGAATTATAAAACTATAAATATATACAATAATTTTTTTGATTCATGTTAAATAGACCTCAGCCAAATTTCCACCTACTCCAACCGAGTTAATATTGAGTCAGGAAGAACGAAAACAGTACCAATGAATCAACCTTAGCTTAAAGCACTAAAGTACACACTATTCTGAGAAATTACAAACTTGAAAGGTCATATTGACCCAATAGGTACAGTTGCTAGATCATATCCAAGTATTCAGGGAGGTTCTGCAGTAAAAATGAACTTAATATTTACATCCACATCTGATATTGCACGTGATGACATGACAGAACCAATAGAGAATGTAGAACGTTCACTGGACCACGATGACGGATCATTTTCCTCTATGCGTCGACTCAGTTGATAGAATGATATAGCACCTTTTTTCAATCAGTCATGTTGATATACGTTTTTTGCACCATTCGTTCGAAATAAGATGTTGTTTAGATTGGAATTGTGTCAAGTTGTAATCAATGGAATTATTATGGATTGTTAATTTTATTCTTTCAGTGAGATTTATCGTCATGTTATTCATCTTTTAATTTTCTTTACAGGGCTATCAGCGACGTGTCACTTCCCCGGTGCGCCTGCGCATTCGAGAGTGACCTTCTCTGACGAGACCTTGACCGAGGGCACTATCGCATCCTACGAGTGTGAACGAGGATTTGAACTCCTCGGACCCACTAGGAGAGCCTGTGGAGCTAACGGAAAATGGACTCCTGATGGCATTCCCTTTTGTGGTGAGTAGAGAACACAAATAATAAATTTAAATAACTATAATTCAACACAATCAACAATGTAAGAGGGGAACATTTAAAATAATCATAATGAACGAAAAAAACGTGACGAAATCGTATATATTTCAATGGAATAATAGAATAAAAATCACAAAGGGCATAGAGTATACTTTCTTTGAGAGTTGTGGGAGTGTATGACAAAGAATCTTCCGCTTTTTAGATGCCATTCACAGCCATGTGAAGTGTTTTCACGAAGAAAGTAAAAGTCGGTCATGGGTACCGAGCAGGGGTGTACTGTATTGTAATTTGATTTAACGTATTGTGCATTGTTGCGATCATTTTACTAGCACTTCTAGAAAAAACGTAACATCACATTAAGTTTTCTCTGGAGTGGTAGAGTGTGACGTACTTATTGTTGTTGTCACAGGTCCTTGCTTGAAGGCTTTTTTAGCGTTATGTAGCCATTAATATCTTTTTGTCGTCCTTGGTAGAATTTGCTTGTATAATTTGATTTTTTATATCCAACCAATACCAAAATCTATGACCAGACGCTTAGAAACTACAGTTCTCATGCGGTTATTGCAAGAGGCAATTTGAACTTATGCATTTTTGAAGTACTTATTAAACGTATTGCGAATGTACATTCAGTATGGTTAGTGTGGGAGAATTAGATCTAATTAGCATATCAGATAAGGCCAGGTGAGACGCCTATATAAAGAAATTGCTTATTTTCTATGTAAAGTGACAACCCTTGCGGTGCACTGCAACGTGGTAGCATCGGCAACGCGGCGGCGCGTACATCTCTAGTTCAGGGTTGGTGAACAAGCGTAACATTTGTTATACAATATAAAACATGTTTTATTATTATTTCTATTTAAAAAGTTCATTTTTATATTATATGTAAATGTTTCTCTGTACATAGATACGATATAAATATTGGATTAGCAAACCTAGCAGTCACCTTTGACTGATAAACAGAACGGTAACTTTCCTCGGTGAAATAAAGAAACGCTTATGCTTACTCATGTCGTGGTTAAACTTTTAGATGACACAATTTTAAATAGTGAAAATTTTAAACACCTATCTCCAACCCGCATGCCAACCTTGTAGATGAAGTGGTATTCTTCTACGTGGAGATAGGGCCCGTAGTAAATTAGCCAACTTGGGACTTGGGAGATTAATATTATAATTTCAAAATTCGTGAATGAAAACTTCAAGAGTCTTTCTCTTCATCAACTGAAGTAAGACCTCTTTTAACAGAGATGAGTATGGCAATATTACGAACGCTTTTTAAGGGGGTAACTTCATCCATTCGTCGTCGTGGTGACCCAGAGGTTTAGGCGCCCGCTTCTCATGCATGAGGGTGCAGGTTCGAAACCTGGCAAGTACTAATACGACCTTTTCCGAGTCATGTGTAATTTCTAAGATTATTGAGACACCACTGATAAATGATAAAGGAACATATTGTAAGAAACCTGGACTTAAATTTCTAATTTTAAATTTGAAATTGCCAATCCGCCTTTAGCAAGCGGGGTGATTAACGCAGTGGGCACTTATAGGCTGATAATGGGGCGAGCTGGAGTGTCTGACTCGTATTGTCTAAAAAATACTCCGTTCCTTCTTCTACTCCAGGGGGTCGTGGTTCATTATTACGCTTGCTGCCTCAACCTCGGCTACGCTTTGCAATCTTTGCGATCACATTTAAGTCACAGAAAGTGCATAGTCCCATAATAATATCAGTACAGTAGTCATCAATGACCACTTACAAGCATTAATGTACCTATCATAACTACATGTCCATACTTAGTGTGGGAGAGCCATGCTTCGGCACGAATGGGCTGGCTCGAAAGGAGTGATACCACGGCCTCACAGAAAACCACCGTGAAGCAACACTTACGTTGTGTTTCGCTGTAGGAGTGAGGTTAGGCACAATTTTTCCCCCTCCCCCCATCCTCAATTCTTAAATCCCCTATTTGCGTTGCTGGTCTCTTGTTGCTTTTAGGGATTAAATCCCTAGTCGTAGGAGGAACTCCTTTGCTATCTGTCTGCTCGTTTACCGACTTATGTCATAAAAAATATTAATAATAACTAGTACACAATTTTGAACCGTTTACACATTAACATAACGGCGTGTGTACAAGCGTCAATCACAATCGATCAACCTGACAGGCTGTACTAGTGACGGAGGCCCACCGCTCTAGTTTCAGACACCTGCAGCTCAAGTACTGGTGCTATCTACCACTTATTATTGTGAATGTTCCTAGTACCGTTATGTTATGCTCATCTGTACCATTCAATTATACCGCCCATGGCTCATAGATAGCTTGTGGCCTACCAATGGAATGCCATGTTATTTCTTCGTCGTTGTTGTTGTTTTGTTTTCAAAACGTTTTCTCTGTATAGTGAGTCAGTGAGACGATTCTAATATCATAATTACGTTTTTGATTGAGCTTTTATTATGGATATAATGAAGCGTTTTTCTTTTGAGGAAAGTCTCTTCTTGCGCTTGATACTTCATTTGTTTGTGATTTTCGAGTTTGCTGAACGAAACTCCTTAGTTTGAAACTGCGAATTCCAATTCACCTAACGCATATTAGTTTTTTTTTGTCAATGGAAAATCATCAAATGGCTTCTCCAGCTCAGGGCGAGAGGTAGTGTCAGACACTCTTACTGACGAACCTCCCCCCCCTCCCCGTTCCTTCTCTTGTTCTGAGCCGAGGCCACGATACCCCGTTGCGCCTACCCCGCAACCCCGGATCTTAGGAATTTATTGGAAAACCGACGTATACGAATGACAACGCCCAACAATCCAATTGTCATAGAACAAAACTCCTTCCCCCATTACAAAACAAGATTTATCAATAGTTTAGGGTTAAAACCATTGAATCGGGTTTTGAATTTTGAATCTTATTTTCACATACCTTAAAATCTAAATACAAAAACTCAATGGTGAAACAGCCTAGGCTAAAGTAAAACCTTGTTTTCTAGGTATTAAGGCCGCTTTTGTTTGACAATCTGAGGTTTAAAAGTGAACTGTCATGAGTTGTTGACGATGAGGATTAAACTGTAAGCGTAATTATCATAAACAAGAACCAAAAACAAAGTTGAAGTGGTCGAAATCTTTTGTAAAATGTGATATTTATTGCTTATTTATTTATTATAAGTCAGTTGTTCAGTGATTCAAGATAACATGTTGACAATAAGTAATAAGTTTTCAAATTAAATTTTCATTAGTAACAGCTTGAAAAGTCAGAGAGTATCGAAAGAGGTAATAACGGAGGGACGTGAGTTTGCATGGTACAGTTTGTTTTTCCCTTCAGTCAGCTTAGGTATTGGTTATAATAGCTACATTAAAACTACGCTTCTCATATACAATATATTGAAAATACGAGAAACTAGAGTTGAAGGATTTCAGTTATTACGTTGTACACAGCCTTCGGCGAACAGGGATCGATACTGCACTCACACAAACACATATGTCCTATCGACATGGCAGCCTTTCATTGGTCTATAAAATGCACACATTGCAAGGAATCCTGTGAAAATTCACAGGTGTGTTCGACCACCCACGTTATAAGGCTGTAAAAATATTGCACACAAACGTAATTTGCATTCGTGTGCGACTCGTGACGCGATCTCATTGGTCGGCGAAATGCACACATTGCAACGAGTCCTGGAAAGTGTACAGGTGTGAAACCACCCACGCTGAAATACTGCAAAATTATTGCACACATGCATAGTTTGCGTTCGTGTGCGACACGTGGTGCGCTCTGATTGGTCAACGGTAGGGTGTGGCCATTTGTTTTCTATATGAAAATACAAAGTTCATTGCTTTCAGAACTGTTAATAAAATTTTCCACAGGTTTCCTTGAAGCTTTTACTTGCAAGGTTTGTTTACCTCAGATGTTTGTGACTTGTTTATATAAAGAAAAGACTATTGTAACGCGGAGAAGTAAAAGGTAAAGCCAAAGCGAGGACATAGTCATGACTATCCATGAATTAACATTTGCGTCCTGCTACCGCCGATAAGATAACAATGGAAAAATTACACCCCAGGGGCTGATTTTTCAATGGTTAGATAAAAGATAGTTGGGCAATAATCATGATGCTGTCGCGTCAGAATGTTT